TCGGTAGCGGGTCAATCGCTCTTGCGATTTTTACTAATCATTTCCAAACCTAATTTAAATCCAAAGGCATAATTATAAATGGGCGGAATTGCCAATCCTCCCAAAGCTCCAAAATAAATATCTTTCGTAGAAGTATTCGGATTGGCATCTTTAAACTGACTCGAATTTTTCAAGGCATAGGCGCCGGCATATAGTCCCGCATGATAACCCGAATAATAATGAGCATAACTAAATTGTCAAAGATTGGTAGGTCAGTTTTTTCCTTCTTTTGGCGAATAAAAAGTATCAATTCCAATAAAGTCAATATTCAAATCTTCAAATTGCCGAACATATTCAAAAAAAAAGTTGGAATAGGTAAATCCGGGAAAAATAAACTTTTTTTTGTTTTGAGTGCGATATAAATTCATAATTCGTTGATAAATAAGAAACGATTGCGAGACCGTTCCTGGATAAGAATGACTTAATCAGGTATCAGTTTTATCCGGAGTGCAATCGGTGCTTAAATCAGCGCGCTTCATTCCGCGATACAAACAAACTCCTTCAATTGCTCCTTGAGCAAATCCACGATCTAAATATCCATATTTATTATTGAGCACAATGTGATAAAAATCGTCGGGAGTCGGTAGAGTCGTGATATATAAACGTGTAAAAATAAAAGTGAAAAAAATACCGATAATAAAAAACAATAATCCGCCGGCGGAAATTAAACGACGTCAAAAATTTTGAGTTTTCGAAAAAGATCCTTTTTTATTTGGCATGATTTTCCTTTCTTGTTCGTCATCAAAGTTGAATTTTGTGAATTCATAATTTTTTCGTTCAGATTTGATAAATGATTAAAAAAATAATCGGCAAAATAAAACTAATAGCTCGTCAAAATTCTCGACCAAATTCCGTCATTTTACCGGAAAATAAAACATTATTAAAGTTTAAGGCGATTTGATAAATGAAAGAAAAAATAAAGGTGAAAAAGGTGATTAATCAAATTTTTTGTTTTCCTAAAATTAACATTGCCAATCCAATATAACCCAAACCTCATACATTTCCTGAAAAAGCCGGAGTCCGCTCGGCGATCATTACACTTGCTCCGGTCATAAAAATAATTCCCATCAAAATTGCTAGATATCGATATTTTTTCACGGAAAAACCGCTTAGTTTGGCTACTTTTTCGTTTTCTCCGCAAGCACGAATTCGCAATCCGGCCGTTGTTCGATAAAAAAAAAGATAAATGATTGGTAAACTGAGCATCACTAATAAAATAGGTCAGAAAAAAGCAGCCTGAGGTTCGTTTCCACTAATAAAAAAAACACTTTTTTTACATAACGGTTGAAGATTTGAAGCACAGGAAACGGTTGCTTCTTGAAAGAAAGAAATATAATCCGACTGAGAAGTTAATTGAGGTTCGTTTTTGAAAATTAAAATGAGAAAAGCTGCGAGACCCATCATAACAATATTAAAAGAAATTCCGACTAAAATTTGATCCAAACGAATGGTGACGACTAAAAAAGAAAATAAAATTGTGACGAGAGAAATTAAAACTAAAGCCCCTAAAACAGAAAGAAAAACTTGAAGATAAAACTGATTCGGAAAAACCGTGCGAAGAAAAAATCCGACTGTTGTATAGCCTAACATACCCGCAATAAGTTGACCTTCTAAGGCAATATTGATTACTCCGGAAAGTTGAGAAAATAAGGCCACTAATGCGATCAATAACAATGCTCCAAATAATAAAAACATATCTTTATGTAAAAAATCACTTAAGTTAATTATCATTTTTATTGTTTCCGATCTCCTTGATTACGTATTCATTCTTGAAAGTTTTTTGTTTTTGAATTGGTTGTGTTGGGAGTGATTTTAGGCAGCGGTTCAACGAGAACTGTTTTTTTACGCATTGGTCGTAACTTCAAAAACCATTTTTTGATCGTGAATCTTAAATTTTTATTCACATAAAGTTGATTGCTAAAAGCGACTGCTAAAATTAATAATCCAATGAAAACTTCAATAATACTTAAATCGACATCATTCGTGAGAAAAGTTTGTGTTTGAATTCGTATTAAAGCCATAAAATAAGTGACAAAAGGAAGAGCGAGAATTGAATTTTGCGATAATCAAACAATGGTTAAAGTGTCAAATCCATTTGCGGGAAGTGCATCATCTAAAAACAAACGAGCACTTTCAATATTTCGATAATAGTAAAAAATTCCCGCGATGCCGCTTAAAACTCCGGAAATTAAACACATATAAATAATTTTTCGGTTTGTATTCACTCCCGAATAGTGAGTAGCTTTGGGATAACGACTAATAACTTTCAGCTCAAAACCAAATTTGGAGTAACGAATTCAAATCGCGACTAATAAAAAAATAATTGTGGCAATCACAAAACTAAAAGATAAAACTTGAGCAAAGGTGAAATTAAAACCAATTTGAGTGCCTAAATCAACTTTTGTTTCCGCTTGTGAAATTTCTTCAACATATGTTGGATGTTTGACGACCGCCCGAAAAATATGATAAAAAGCATAATTAAAAAAAATACCACTAAAAACTTCATTAACACCGAAATAAAGTTTGAGCAAACCGATAATTAAAGACATGACTACGGCCGATGCGATACCAACAAAAATTAAAATTAATATTCAATTCGCCTGACTTAAAGCATTTTTTAATTGATAACCAGTAACATAGGTGGTTAAACCGGCAATTGACATTTGACCGGCAACATTTAAATTAATCATACCTACTCGATAACAAAGTAAAACAACTAAACTGCCCAGAAGTAACGGAGCGAACATTTTTAATATTTCCGTAATTTGATTTGTATCTTTAAACGGATCAACAATAAAAGTTCGTAAAATCGCATCCCCATTATAATTTTTAATTCCTGTCAAGATTCCTCAAATAATCAACAAAATAATAAAAATAGAAATTAAAGTCAGAGAAATTCGATTGAGTTTTTGAGAAATTTTATTGTGCGAAAAAATATTTTTATTCATTTGAAGATTTCTTTTTAATTGTCATAAATTCAGCAATTTTTTCCGCGGCTCGCGAATCATGCGAGCACACTTCTCCCACAATTTCTCCACGACTGATAACTAAAACACGATCAGCTAAATTTAATAATTCATGAAAATCATAACTGACCATAATTGTGGAATATCCAATGTTGCGTTGTTCAATAAAAATTTTATAAAGCGCTCCGATGGAAAAAACATCGATTCCTCAGGTCGGATTATTGGCTAATAACAAAGCCGGTTTACCTCATAATTCACGGGCAATGACAAACTTTTGCTGATTTCCTCCGGATAAACTTGTAGCTGGCTGATGAGCACTATAGATTCCCTGTAAATTATATTTTTCGACTAAACTATCAACTATATAACGGGCATTTTTGCGTTTAAAATGTTGAAAAAAACCACTTTTAAATAATTCGGGATGAAATAAATAATTAAAACTTAAATTTTCGTAAAGAGGTTCGTTTTTAATTAATGATTCTTCAAGACGATCGGAAGAAATATAGGAAATTCCGGCTTGTCTTAAAGCTTGAACGCCTAATTGATTTCAAGTTTGTTTGGTTTGAGCTAATTGAGTGCTTTTACGCAAAGCAAAAAAAGAACTTGGAGAATCAAAATAAATTTGCCCGGTAAATTTGTTATCAATACCCGCTAAAATTTCTAAGAGTGTTTTTTGTCCGTTGTTTTCAATTCCGGCGATTCCTAAAATTTCTCCTTTATACAAATTAAAATTAATATTTCGTAGTTGATATCGGCCATCTTGTTTTTGTTTATTTAAATTGATTACTTCCAATAAAATTTCTTTGGAAACGGGATTTCGTTGAATTTCCTCAAAAGAAAAAACTTTTTTTTCTCCAATCATTAACTTAATAAGTTTTTCATTTGTCACATCCGTAAGGGTAAAAGTACCAATCATTTTTCCATAACGAAGTACCGAAACGCGATCAGCAATTTTTCGAATTTCATCAATTTTATGAGTAATAAAGATAATCGCTTTTCCTTCCGCTCGATATTTTTTTAAGGAATCTAAAAACTCTTTGATTTCATCCTTATTTAATAATGATGTCGGTTCATCAAAAATTAAAATTTTTGGATAACGCAAGAGAACTTTCAAAATTTCGATTCGTTGAAGTTTTTCTGTGCTGAGTTCTTTCACCTTTTGTTTATTGTTTAAATTTAAATCAAACTTTTTTTTGATGGCTTGAATTTGTTTCATCATTTTTTTTCCGCCAATGGAAAAAGAAATTACTTTTTTTTCTTTTCACAATTGTAATTTGAAAATTTTTTTTTGATATTTTTTTTTAATTTCGGCAACGGTAAATTTTTCATCTTCTAATTCTTTTTTTTGTCATTGATTAACTTTTGCCAAACGACGATGATATTCATCATTTAATTTTTGTAGATCATTTTGATTACGAAATTCATATCCTAAAATTAAATTTTCAAAAACACTAAAATTATTAATTAAATTAAAATGCTGATGAACCATTCCCATTTGAGAACTAATGGCGATTTTAGGATTATGATCTACAATTTTTTGTTCATTAATATAAATTTCTCCTTCGGAAGGCGAAGTTTCTCCAAAAATCATTTTCATCATTGTTGATTTTCCGGCGCCATTTTCGCCAAAAATGGCATGAATTTCTCCATAATTAAGATCAAAATTAATGCGATTATTCGCTTTTAAACCACCTTCTCAAATCTTGCTGAGATTCACTAATTTGATGGCTTGTTTGCTCATTTTTTTATGATATTATTATCACATTTAATTTTACTAAGAATTATAAAAATTAATATAACTTTTTTTGTCTTTTTGTTATATCGCCTTTCTTGTTCTTATCAAAAATAAAAAAAATTCTTTTTCGTTATTTCAAAATCACACTAATTTCACTTAGAATCACAATCATAATAAAATACGAATCAAAAGCAAAAAAAATCCTTTTATAATAAAATTAGTTTCTTTATCAAATATTTTTCGGAGAAACTATATTTTTTGGTGCTGTGGCCAAGTGGATAAGGCAGAAGTTTGCAAAACTTTGATCGTTGGTTCGATTCCGACCAGCACCTCCAATTATTAATTTCAATTGTCGTTAATTGTCTTTTGGTCAAGGAAAATAAACATAACAACTCCGGCAACGAGCTTCGTATTTACCAATTCCGCCGACAAATTCGTGCATTTTTATAAATTTTGCGGGAGAAATTGGTACTCCTTTATGATCAACTCGTTGAGTTTTATTGGCCAAAGATTGACACTTATTACAATAAGCAAAAAGTTTGATTACTTGATCGGCATAAGCTAAAGCCAAGTTCATTACGGGTAAATTATGATCGGAAAAGCCACGATCCAATCCGCTGAGATAAATATCATATCCATGATTGAGTCATCGCTCTAAATACTTAATTAGCGATGGGTCCATAAATTGAGTTTCATCAATCGCAATAATTTTAATATGCGAATATTTATTTAAATACTTTTCGATTTCCGCAGGAGAATTAATATTAATTGCTTTTCATTTTTTTCCAGTTTGCGAACAAAGTTGGCGTTTTTGAAAACGATCATCAACCTGTGGCTTAAAAACTAAAACTTCCTCACCTAATTGAGTCAAATGTCTTAATTTTGCGATTAAAGCATCCGTTTTTCCGGAATACATACATCCGGTATAAATAACTAGATGACCTGTTCTCGTTTGTGACATATAAAAAATTATATTATTTTATTTTTGATAAATTTTTAAATTATCTAAAATCTCACGAGTTAAGCCGAACATAATCAGTTTTCCAATTTCGCTATGATGTTCGTAATTTAACAAATGAAGAAATCCGTGCAAAAGTAAAAAGCTCGCTTCTCTTTTTCACGAATGATTCAAATCAATCGCCTGTTGACGGATTTGAAAATAATTTAAATAAATTTCTCCACATAGAGGATTTTGAGAATTAACAAAATAAAGAGGCAAGGCCAAAACATCACTTTCTTTTTTATAGGGATAAATTTCATCATTAATGGCTTTCATGTATTTACGAGAAACAATGATGATGTTAACGGGGGGAACAAAATTTAAAAACAAATAACGAATTGTATAGTGCAAAATTTTTTTTGTTTCCGCGAGCGATAGCGGTCAATCTTGATATTCAATTCTCTCGAAAAACATACGAATAAAATCAGTAGACATCAAAAAATGGTGACCCGTAAGAGATTCGAACTCTTGTGTGCCAGATTGAGAACCTGGTGTGTTAACCCCTTCACCAACGGGCCAAAAAAATAAAATTTCATGGTAGCCCGTAGGAGATTCGAACTCCTGCATGCTGGTGTGAAAAACCAGTGTGTTAACCACTTCACCAACGGGCCATGGCGCCCAATGCTGGATTTGAACCAGCGACCTTTTGCTTAACAGGCAACTGCTCTGCCGCTGAGCTAATTGGGCAATAAAAAAAGCAAAACACTTATTTCTATTTTATTTTATTATCAATTTTATCGGTTTGGAAATAATCTTTTAATTTTCCTTTGTTTTAATAATAAAATAAAAAAAATACCGAATTTCGATTTAAGTTGATTATGTTTAAGGGTGAAAGATTAAAATTTTCCGAATTAGTGAAATATTTAAAAAAATATGCTTTTTCTTTTTCTCACGGAAAAATTTATAACGGAGTCAAAAATGTTTATGATTTTGGTCCTTTGGGCACTGATTTAAAAAATAAGCTTCAAAATTTATGACGTGAACATTTCATTAATCAACAAAGTAATATTCATGAAATGGACAGTGCTATTTTAACTCATCATTTAGCTTTAGAAGCCAGCGGACATGCGGATAAATTTCAAGAATCCCAGGGATGAAAATTTTCTCCGGCAGAAGTTTATTCGCAAACAAAAAATAATTTACCTTTATTCAATAGCAGTGAATTTTATTTACCTTTTGGATTACTGTTAAATGTGCCCTTGGTGGATAAAAATGATCCTCAAATTCGTTATTTATTTTTAAGACCCGAAACCGCACAGGGTATTTTTATGAATATGAAAGATATTTGGCAAGCAATGAAATTAAAATTGCCCTTTGGATTAGCTCAAATCGGTAAAGCTTTTCGAAAAGAAGCTAATTCAGCCCATTTTTTTATTCGTGCTTGAGAATTTGAACAAATGGAATTAGAATATTTTTTTGATGGAACATGCACCTCACAAAGAGTTAAAGTTTTTGATTTTTGATCCAAACAATGTCAAAGTTTTTTTTTAAAAAAGCTATCTTTTAGTCCGAATTTGATTCGTAAACAGAAAGCAAAAAAACATATTCCGCACTATTCACAAGCTACCGAAGATTGAGAATTTCAACTTTCCAACGGTGAATGATTAGAAATAGCCAGTCTTTCCGACCGGGGACAGTATGATCTTCATCAACATCAAATAAAAAGTACTTGCGATTTAACTCTAAAAAATGAGCAAGCCGATAAACTTATTCCGCATGTAATTGAACCATCTTTTGGAGTCGGTCGATTAATGTTTGCTTTTCTTTCAGATCGCTTAAGAAAAGAAAAAAACGATCATCAAAAAGAACGGCTGGTTCTTCACTTACCCGCTCAAATGGCTTATTATCAAATTGCCGTCTTACCGCTAACAGAATCACTCACGGAACAAGCCAAAGTGGTTTATGAGCAAATGCAACAAAATCAGACTTGAAGAATTCATTTTACAATTAAAAAAAGTATCGGCACTCGCTATCTCTATCACGATGCCATTGGAACTAAATATTGTTTAACCTATGACTTTGAATCACACAAAACTCAAACCGTGACCATTCGCGAACGAGATACAAGAAAGCAACAACGAATTCACATCAGTGAATTAAATGATTTTTTTTGTAAATGAATTTAAATTCCAACAGCATAAGTACTCAAATTAATTCTCAAATTGAAATTGATCAGGTGATTGGTGAATACATTGATGTTAAAAAAAAAGGCAAAGACTTTGTCGCTCTTTGTCCTTTTCATAACGATCGCCATCCATCTTTGTTAATTTCACGAATGAAACAAATTTTCAAATGTTTCTCCTGCGGAGCAGGTGGAGGAGTAATTAAATTTGTTATGCTTTACGAAAATTTAAGTTTTTCGGCGGCCATAACAAAACTCATTAAAAAACACTCTTTAAAAATTGATAATCAATGATACCAGCCAAAAGAAAAAACGGAGCAAGAAAAAAAAATTCTGGAAATTAATGAAGCCGCTCATGTTTATTATTGTTTGCAACTAGTAAAACCAAGTAAAGAAGTGGCTAAATTTTTAAATCGCCGAAAAATTTCTCGAATGATGGTGCAAACTTATCAAATTGGTTATGCAAATAATGAGCAAAGTGAACTCTATCAATATTTATTAAAAAAGGGTTTTAGTAAAGAAAATATTTTTCTAAGCGAATTAGTTACAATCACCAAAAATAATCAAGTTAAAGATTATTTTTATCATCGAATAATTTTTCCGTTGTTTAATGAAAATCATGAAATTATAGGTTTTTCCGGGCGGGCAATTCAAGAAAGTCAGGAACCTAAATTTTTAATTTCTCGAGAAACTCTCGTCTTCGCCAAAAGCAAAGTTCTCTTTAATCTCAATTGAATCAATAAAAATTTTAAAGCTTTGCAAGAAATTCATTTAACCGAGGGATTTTTGGATGCCATGAGAATGACCGATAATGGATTTTGCAGTGTCGCCATTTTAGGAACAGAGTTAAGCATGACTCAAATTCGCGCTTTAAAAGAGAGATATCGAAAAGTTATTATCGTTCCCGACGGTGATTCACCGGGAAGAAAATCAGCCCTAAAAAATGCTTTGTTATTATTTCAAAACGGAATAAATGTACAAATTTGAAATTTTCAAAGTTGTTTAGATCCAGATCAAATAATTTTACAAAAACCGGAAAAACTCAAACAAAGAGCAGAAAATTTATTTCATCCTCTTTATTTTGTTTTAGATGGTTATCCTAATTTAAAAACAAACGAACAGCAAAAACAATTTGAAAAAGATGTAACCCTTTTTTTACCTTATCTTTCCGTTTTGGAAAGTTTTCAATTTGAAAAAATAATTCAGAATAAATATAATTTGCCAAAAGAAATTTTGGAAAAATGAAAGGACAAAATTGAAACAAATGCCTTTTCCGCAACAAAATTAGAGGAAAAAAATAAAAATTTTAATCAAACTAATATAGAATCATGAGAAAAAATATTTTTAATTTATTTTTTAAAATTTCCACAAGAAAGTCAATGACTTTTCAAAATTCCCGGCGATTTTACTAGCCCAACATTAAACAAATATAAAAATCAATTTTTATCAATAATAAAAGAATATATTACAAAAAAAATGAAAATTTATGATAAAATGATTGAGTTAGTAAATTTTCAGTGACTAAAATTTTTCTTTTCTTCTCTTGAATGAAAAAATTTATGGAATGAAACAAAACAAAGTACTAATCTGGTTGGGGATTTGCTGGGTTATTGATATAGTTCTTATTTACGACAAAAAAGAGGCGAATATGAAAAAAAAGCAAAGGATGGCGATTTTGAATATCATCAAAACTTGTTAGAAATTAGTAAAAAAATATATGAACTCACAAAACAAAGCAACGATAAAAAACTTGACCTTATTTCCGCTTGAGCTAAAAAACAAAGAAAAGATTCGAAATTACACCAATAAATATGGTTTCCCGTGAGGAATTGTAATTTTTTTAAAAAAAACTCGTATTAGTAACTTACGAAAAAAAGATCTTGATTTATTAAATATTGAATTAAAACTCGCTAAGGGTTGACGTATTTTATTGAGAGAAACTCTAAAGGGGCGTAAAATGCTCACCGAAAAAACAATTCGTAAATACGGAATTTTTGTTAGAAAAAAGATTGGAAAATCATTTAATTTCAAAACGATAAAAAAAGATGAGTGAAAAGAAGAAAGCGGAACTAATTGAAAACATTTTGAAAATTCAAATTTATTAACCGCAGAAGGAGAAACATATTATTTTAAAATTTTAAAAAATTCCAAAGATTCAAATCAAGCCCGACTCGCAAAAGAAAAAATTATTCGCAGTAATTTAAAATTAGTCGCAAGTATTTGCAGTAAATACAGTTGACGGGGATTAAAAATCGAAGATTTAAGGCAAGAAGGGTATTTGGGAATGTTAAAAGCAATTGAAAAATTTGATTATCGGCGCGGTTTTAAATTTTCTACATATGCAACTTGATGAATTCGGCAAACGATTACACGAGCGATTGCCGATCAAGGGCGAATAATACGAATTCCCGTGCATATGATTGAAACAATTAATAAAATTTCGGCTACCGAAAAAAAATTAGTGCAAGAATTACAGCGACCCCCAACCGAAAAAGAAACCTCAAAAGCCTTAAACGGAGAACTCACTCCTGAAAGAATTAAAAAAATTAAAAAATTTTCAATGCGTCCTGTTTACATTGAAAAACAAGTTAACGATAAACATGACACAAAATTTGGTGATTTTCTTTCCGATAAACAAATTAAATCAACAAAAGAGGAAACTGATCGCCAACTCTTAATTAAAAAAAGCGATAAGATGATTTTTGAGTTTTTAAATATCAAAGAAGATAAAATTCTAAGACTAAGATTAGGAAAACCGCCGTTAGTTGTTGAACATTTAATGAAATTAGTTGATAAAAGACGTACAAAAAAAGTAAAAGAAATTTTAGAAAAAAATGGAGTAACTCTCAAAACTCAAATGAATGAGGCTTTAAAAAAATTGACTGGAACAATTGTCGAAAATGAATTAAGTCAATTTCAACCTTTTCCTATGACTTTGGAAGACACGGGCAAAAAATTAAATATTACTCGTGAATATGTGCGACAAATTGAAAATAAAGCTTTTAAAAAATTAAGGGCACAAAGACAATTACTCAATGGTTTTTAAAACAAAAACAGAGTAAAATAATAACTAATTATGAAATCGACACTCTCTAAAAAGGAAATAATTTCCAAAAAAGAAACTAATTTACAAACTAAATTTGCCGTTATTTTGCATGAAAATCAGCAATATCAAGTAAGAGAGGGTATGAATTTATATGTTCCGTTAATTAAACAGGCAAAGGAAAAAGAAAAAATTATTTTTGATAAAGTTCTTCTCACCAATGATGCCGTCGGCACTCCTTATTTAAAAAATCATAAAGTTTTAGGACAAGTCATAAAACCATTACACAAAGATAAAAAAATTATTGTTTTTAAATATAAATCAAAAAAAAATTATCGAGTCAAAAGCGGTCATCGTGCAAAATTGACGATGATAAAAATTGATAAAATTATGAATAAATAAAAGTTATGAACTCAAAAAAATTTTTCTTTCTTTTTGATTTACAAACTTTTGCGAAAAAAAAAGGAGGCGGATCAACTAAAAATGGACGAGATTCAAAACCTAAATATTTAGGAATTAAAAAATCTGATGGTAGCTTTGTCAAAGCGGGAGAACTAATTTACTTACAGCGTGGAACCGTTATTCATCCGGGTAAAAACGTTAAACGAGCCCGTAACGATACTTTATACGCAACAAAACCCGGATATGTGAGTTTTTTTCAAATAACAAGAAAAAGACGAGCTGTTTCGATATTAAATGAACGAAAAGTTAATTCATTAACGAATAATTAAATATGAGAAAGTTCTTTATTGGTTTACTGGGTTTTTTTTTATTAATTGCACTTGTGCCGTCAATTGTCATTCCTATTATGATGCAACAAACTTGAGAAAGTTATTTTCCGGCGAGTAGTCGTCATTCGTGAAGTGATTTCCGTGAATTGGAAGACAAAATAGGCGATCCAGAGGCAAATCTTGTTGCTTATTACGGAGTCAGTGCTTGTCCGGCATGCGCAAGTTTAACTAAATTATTGGTCCAAAGCGAAGACATTCGGAATAAGATCGCGGAAATTGAAAGTAGTTTAAATTTTACAGTCGAACAAGAATTACTTCAATTTTGATACGAATGAAACAAAGATGTAAAACTTTTGCGAAGTGATGAACGCATTAGTTTTGAAACTTCTTTAAGAAGTTTGCCGGGATTTGATTCAAGTAAATTAAAGGGTACTCCTCATTGAATTATCATTCGCGGAGGGCAAATTGTTGATCAATTTATTCCTTCAGCGAATGAGGAACAGGAAATTATTGACAAATTAGATAGTAACTTTCTTTCCGATAATTAATTAGTCAATTAAAATAAAGATAGTAAATCAACTCAATGCCTAATTCCGATTTTTTTCTTCCGGATATTGAAAAAACAATACAAAAAAAATGAGAAAAACAAAAATTTGTTTTTCAAAATAATAAAAAACCCATTTTCACTCTTTTAATGCCTCCCCCAAATGTTACGGGTAGTTTGCATTTAGGTCATGCATTAAATAATTACTTACAAGATGTACTCACTCGTTGACATCACATACACGGTTATCAAACTTTATGAATTCCGGGATTTGACCATGCCGGAATTGCTACCGAAATGCTTGTCAAGGCTTGATTAAAAAAGCATTCGAAAAAAATTCAAAAAGAGGACCCCATTGCTTTTTTTTATGAATGAACCGAAGAAAAGCAAACAAAAATTCGGCAACAATGAAAACAGTTAGGATTAATGATCAATACGGAAAAAGAAGAATTTACACTCAGTGAGGTTTTTCAAAAAGGAGTTCAAAAAGCATTAATTCATTTGTTCGAAGAAAAATTAGTATATCGAGCTAAAAAATTAGTTAACTGAGATCCTTTTTTACAAACGGTGATTTCCGATATTGAAGTAAAACATATAGCCCAAAAAGCCAAACTCTATTACTTTAAATATTATTTTCCCGACAATCCAAATCAATTTATTCCGGTCGCGACAAGTCGTCCCGAAACAATGTTCGCTGATCAAGCGGTGATGGTAAATCCCAAAGATAAAAGATATCAACAATATATAGGAAAAAGTGTAATCAATCCACTGACCGAAAAATCATTAAAAATTTTAGGAATTTCAAAAGTAGATTCGCAATTTGGTTCCGGAGCCGTAAAATGCACTCCCGGGCATGATTTTTTTGATTTTGAAATTGGTAAAAAATACAATTTATTCAATCTAAATTGTTTCAATAAAGAGGGTAAATTAAATAAATTATCGGGAGACTTAGCCGGACTTGATCGTTTTGAAGGACGAAAAAAAGTATTAAAAATTTTAAGTAATCGAAATGCCTTAATTAAAGAAAAATCATATCATACAACGATTCCATATTCCCAACGCTCCAATGTGATTGTGGAACCATATTTAACGGAGCAATGATTTATAAAAACTCAGCAATGAACAAAAACCATTTTAAAGAAAGAAAAAATGATTCATTTTGTTCCTTCGAAATATCATAAAACTTTAATTCGTTGAATGGAGAATTTAGATGACTGATGTATCTCGCGGCAATTAAAGTGAGGACATTCGTTGCCTTTGTATACAAACAAAAAAACCGGGAAAATTATTGCTTCCGAAAAATCGCCGGGAATAGAATGAAAACAAAGTTCTGATGTTTTAGATACATGATTTTCATCGGGATTATGAAGTTTAATTAATTTTGGTTGAAATAATGCTCAAAATAAAAACTTAAAAAATCTCCTGCCCATCAATTACTTAGTAACCAGTTATGATATTATTTTTTTTTGAGTTGCCCGAATGTTATTTTTACACTATCATTTTCAAAAAATTATTCCCTTTTCTAAAATTCTTATTCATGGACTTGTAAGAACAAATAATAATGAAAAAATGTCCAAATCCAAAGGTAATGTTATTGATCCTACGCAAATAATAAATCAATATGGAAGCGATGCCTTAAGATTTTATTTAATTGGAAACCATAAGATTGGTGAAGATTTCCGTTTTGAGGAAAAAAAATTAATAAGAGCTTCACAGTTTATGCATAAACTGTGAAACATTTCTTTATTTATGAAAAAATATCAAATTTATGCCAAAGAAGAATTCAATTTAACTAATATTCAAAATCCAATTAATTCATGAATTCTGCAAAAATGACAAAACACAAAAAAGAATCTAGAACACAGCTTTCAAAAACATTTATTTTCTCTTACGACAAAACAATTAACTGATTTTATTTATCGAAATTTTAGTAATCAATATTTAAGAATTATTTGAAGTTATAAACAAGCAAATAAATCCCTCGGTGAATTGACCGATGTGACCAGTTACTTGTGAACGGAATGCTTGGTGTATCTGCATAGTTTTGCTCCATTTTTAACGAGTTATTTATATCAAATTCACACAAACCGGGATATTTTGTTTCATCAAATGAAAACATTTACCTTCAATAAACCAAAATCTAAATTAGGCGATAAATTTATTTTGTTATTAAATTTAATTGAAAAACAAAAATTGAAAAAAGGTGAAATAATTAAATTTCACATTCAATCTCCCGATATGCAAAATTGAAAAAAGGAATATGAAGAACTCAACATTATTCTAAATCCTTTGGGAGGCAAAATTGAGAAAATATCTTCGGCCCAAGAACAAAAAATTCAATTAGATATTATTCAAAATAAAGTTGAAAAGCAAAAGAAAAAATTTACGCTTTCTTATTATTTAAAAGAAATCGAAAGAGGAGAAAAAATTTTAAATAATCGTAATTTTATCGAAAAAGCAAATTCAAAAATTGTTGAAAAAGAACGAAAAAATTTAGCAAACTTAAAAAAAATCGTTCAAAACTTAACTACGAAAAAAAATAAAAAATAATTCAAAAATGGTGCCCGAAGTCGGACTCGAACCGACACGGGATCGCTCCCAATAGATTTTGAGTCTATCGTGTATACCAATTTCACCACTCGGGCAGGTTAATTTAATTTTAATGGAGAACGAATAAAAATCAAACAATTCTAACTATTTATTTTTATCTAAGGCATTTAACTTTGTTTGTAGTTGCGATTTTTTACGAGCGCTGTAATTTATTTTTTTAATCTTTTTAGAGACCAATTTGTCTAATAACTTCTGAGCCAAAATAACTTTTTGAAGAACATCTTTGTCTTTCTTTAAAATCGCTTTGTATGCATTTGCAATTGCGGTTTTTACTTGAGACTTAAACACTTTATTATTAAATCTAGCTTTTTCATTAGTGAGAATTCGCTTTTTTTGTTGTTTAATATTGGCCATAATAAGAAATTATTATTTATTTTAAGGGAAAAAAGGGAAAAAAGGGAAAAAAATTTAATTTTTAATTATGGTTTGACATCGAGAAAAAATTCTTTTTATTCTTTTTATTTTAGTTTTGGCCATTGGATTATTATGTAGTTTATTTGTTTTAAGAAGTACTATTTTTGATTTTAATAATAATTTAAAAGAGCAAAATCAAAATAAAGAAACGCAATCGGTAGCCTCATCCACCCAATTGAAAAAAATCACGAAAATTACTTCAATAACAAATGAAGAAAGCTCTCAAGAAAATGAATTAATTACAACTTTTTCCTTTCGAATGCGGGAAAAAAGACTATTACAAGATGAGGCAAATATTTTTCCACCATCAATTAGTTTTTCCGGACAATGACCCGAAAATTTTTTAGTTATTAATGTTCTCAATTACTATTATCCAAATTGATATCAGTATTTTTTTATTACAACTAACACTTTATATAAATCAATTCAAAACAACAATATCATCGTATATCAACCGCTAATAAAAACAATTAAAAAAAAATTACGAACAAATTTTAATTTATCGGATTTAGTTCTTTTAAACATTGACAAAACTCATGTCGGAATGAACGAATATTCAGCAAATGTATTATTGGAAATGATTCATAATTTGCAAATAACAAAAAAAGAAATTGAAATTTATGTCGAACAAATAGTAAGTAAAAATAAGGCGGAATTAGTAATTAGAAAACTAAACGATAGTATTATTTGAATATAAATTGAAATTTTTTTTCTCTTACTTATTGCTTTTTGGTATTTCTTTTCTTCATTTATGAATAAGTCAAGGGCAGGGATGATGATTATTCATCATTGTTCTTCTCATTATTATTTTTCACTATCGAAAAATATTTACTTCTTTTCATTTGACGACATTGATTTTAGGAATTTTGCTACTATGTGGCATATTTTTACATCTGAGTCTAAAAAACTCAAATCAAAATCAAAATCAAAATCTTTATTCCGCAAACGAACCTATTTTGCTTCGAGTTGTGGAAAAATATAAAAATAGTTTAATTGTCAAGGATTTGACACACGGAAATAATATATTTTTAACTGACAATATTTTAAGTGAAGAGGAAAAAATAAATCTTTATTCCGGAGATAAACTAACCGCCTGTCTGAATATAAAATTAATCGAAAAAACTAATTTAAATGCTTTTAATTATTTTTTAAAAAGTAAATACGTAAATTATAAAGCATATATTAACCAAAAATGCTCAATAACGTGAGAATTTGCTCAATCGTGATATAGAAAAATTATTCAATATTTTTCCCGTTTTTCTTCAAATAAATTTGAGCGATGAGTTTTATTTTTGCTATTTCAAATCAATGATGAAAATATTTATGAAAATTATAAAAAAATGAGTGAAATCGGTATTGTTCATTTATTTGTTATTAGTGGTTTCCACTTATTAATTTTAGGTAAATTTTGATTTTGAGTTGCTAAACTCAAAAAACAAAAAATTTGAAATTTTGTTTTTTATGCGATTGGATTGTTTTTTGTTTTTGGATTGGCATATTTGACAAATTGAAAACTCAGTTCTGTAAAAGCATTAATTTTACTGCTTCTTTATTTATTTCGCAATCAAAAAATTAAATCGTACTGAAATTTAAATTCCGCCGAGCAAATTGGAATTTTAGGCTTAATTTTTTTATTATGAAATCCATTCATGTTTTATCAAATTAGTTATCAATTTAGTTTTTTAGCCAGTTGAGCCTTGTCAATTAAAATTAAAAAATTTCAAAACAAAAAGCAAAAAAAACTCAAATTTTTATTACGTATGTGACTTAAAAATATCATTGTAATTGCTTTTATTTTTCCCATTTTAATTAACTTAAACTATCGAATATCGATATGATTTTTTGTTTTATCAATTTTATATACTTTTATCAGTTTAATTTTTTATCCTTTATTTTTTATTTTCATTTGATTTCCTTTTTTAAAAAATTGATGAATATGAATTTTCGGCATTTTAGAACAGAGTTTTCAGTTTTGAATTAAATATGGATTTTTTGTTGTTTTTGGCGAATGAAAACCCTTCTGAATCGTCTTTTATTATTCAGTGATAATCATATTATTTTATTTTTTTCATAAAACTCTTCCGCAAAAGTGATTATTAATTTTATGAGTAGTGAGTTTTTTGAGTATTTTTGCTCAACTTCATTTTGCCCATCCCTATTTTCGCCTGCATATGATTAATGTTGGTCATGGCATGGCCATGTTGCTTCAAACTCCCAATCAAAAAACCAACATTTTATTTGATGCGGGAGTAGGTAAAGAAAGTGTCAATAACACCACGATAATTAGTAATTATTTAAAAAAAATGCGAGTAAATAAAATTGATGCTCTTTTTCTTTCTCATCAACATTCCGATCATACAAATAATTTATGACACTTACAAAATAATTTTTTGATTGATCGAATTATTACAAATCAAAATCAAAAACCTTATTATCAAATAAATAAAATGAAATTTTATAATTTAGCCTATGATTATTATCAATTCATGAAAAAAGAAAATAATCAAAGTTTAGTTTTGCAATTTCGTCTACAAAACTATAATGTTTTACTTACTTTTGATGCCGAAGCGCAAGCGGAATTTAAATTAATCGAAAATATAAACTTAAGAGAAATTGATATTTGACAAGTCGGACATCACGGATCTTTAACATCGTCCATTTATAATTTTAGACAAAAAATTAAACCCAAATACTGTCTTATTTCCAATCGCTGAAAAAGTCTGTTTGAGGAAATTTTAACACGAGAAAAATGTCGTGTTTACTCCACTCGTACCGATGGCAATATTCAAATTAATTTAAATTTAGGTGGGTTAAAAATAAACAAAGAAAAAAATAACTGAGTAAAATATAATTTTATTTAATGAATATATTTGTTTTAGACAACGACCCCAAAAAAGCCGCTCAATACCATAGCGATAAACACTGTGTAAAAATGATTCTGGAAAGTGCGCAAATGCTTTCTACGGCTCATCATGTTTTGGATGAAAAGAATGCTCCAAAAGAAATTTATCGAAAATCTTTTGTCAATCATCCATGTACCGTTTGAACTCGACAAAATTCAGCTAATTATCGTTGACATTTTCAATTGTTTGTTGCCCTAATGAAAAATTATAGTTTGAGATATAAACGAAAGCATGCATCAGAAAGATTGATTCCATTACTAAAAAAAATGCCAAAAAAAATTAAAAAAACAAAAGAAATGTCTCCTTTTGCTCAAGCAATGCCGGAAAAATTTCGTAATTTTGATGCCGTCAAAGCTTATCGAACATATTATTTCATCGAGAAAAAAGATATTAATGTTTGAAATCATTCCCAAATACCAGAATGATATCAAGAAAAAAGTAATGAAAAATAAAATTCACTTAATTGTCGGAAATGATTTTTTTTTAATTGAAGAAAAAATAAATGATATTTTTCGAAAATATGATGAAAAAACAAAAAAAAGAAAAAAAGAATCTTGATCCCCGATAAATAAAGATGAATTGAATAATTTATTTACAAGTTTACAACAAAAAAACTTATTTCAAGAAAAATACTTAGTTATAAAAATTCATGAAAAATTGAAACTAAACAATGAAGAGAAAGAAAAATTGTTCTCCATATTAAAGCTAACGGAACATTTTGTTTTTTTTTGTTGCGCAAATAAACTAAAGAAATTCAATTTTGTTAATGAATTATTAAATATAGCGGTGTTTCATAATTTGACTCAATTAAATAAAAGCAAAAAAACAAAGTTTATTCAAAAAAAACTTTTAGAAGCAAACATCGTTTGAGAGCCGGGAGCATTGATTTGAATGGTTAAAAATTTGCCTAATGATTTGCGCATAATTGATAACGAAATAGATAAAATTACTCATTATTCCGAATTGAAAAAGAAAAAGTTAAGCATAACGATGCTAAAAAAAATTATTCAACCTTATCAAAATGATAATATTTTTCCTTTTATTGAAGGTATTTTATTGAATGATAAAAATTTAATAACACGTAGTTTTACAAATTTAAAAAAAGAAAATATTAATGTATTTCATTTACTTTCCACCTTAGAAACATATTTATTTTATTTAATAAAGCTAAAACACTTGCAAACTCTAAAGAAAAAACGATATGAAATTCTAAAAATTTTAGGAAAAAATAACTTTTTTGTAATGACTTTAGAAAAAATAGCAAAAAAAACAAATCTTCAAAAAATTGAACATATAATTGGTAAAATAAGATTACTTGAATATAAAATGAGATTCGGTAATTTTACAGAAGAATTTTTTTTAGCAAGTTTATTGAAATAAAATGATTCAAGAAAAACAAACAAATCAAAAAATAAGAATGGATTTTGATTTTAATAGAATTTATCCATATAGTACAAAACCAAAGTTGGTTCCCATATTAAAAAAGTTAATCGCTCTCATTTTTTTAGTTGTCATCGTTGTGTGATATTCAATTTATATTTATTCGGCATTATATTTAAAAAGAAACATTACCAGTATCCAAACAAGTGTTAATACTGTTTATTCTCAAAGTCGACTTACGATTGCTGAACAGGCCGATACAATTAATATATTATTATATGGCTATATATGAAACAAAATTATTTATTCCGTATTATTTATGGCCCCATTAATTGTGGTTTACCTAGTTTATCAATCATTTAAAAAAGAAAAATATGAAAAAAATATTTATAGTTTTTCCGTTTGATATATTGTAATCACGATCGCCTACTTTTTATTAATCACTTTTATAGTCTTTTGAGACGCAAATTATTTTTTAACTCATCAATTACTTAAGTGAGTACCCGAACAATATCGTACCGGTTTAAGTTTACAAACACCAAGGGAAAATTTAGAAAAGTTTGGAGTTTTATTATCAAACACCTGAGTTGAATGAGCACTTTTAGCGAATAACTTAGTTTACAATTTGACGAAATGAGCCGGAATTGTCGTTTCCAGTTGTTTATTTTTAAATGTTGTAATTACGGCTTTTCTTTTTTTCATTAAGCCAAAATATGACCTGGATAAGGTGAGAAAAATTCAACACGAAATTCAAAAAAAAGCCAAAGCTAATTTAGAAGGCAAAGATTATACAATGGACACAAGTATTTTTGATTAAATCAAATGACTTTTTATGAATAATCGTTTGACAAAAATCGCAGATTGAATTTTGGCGGATAAATTTGCAAGAACGATTGCGGATATTGGCACTGATCATGGCCAATTACCTTTTTATTTGAATAAGCACAATAAAAATCTGAAAATTTTTGCCACGGATATACTTTCTCCTTTAATCAATAAATTAAAAAAAAAACTTTCTTCCGAGAGTAAAATTATTCCCTTACTGGGTTTTGGGTTAAATCCTTTACAAAATACAGATCTAGATATCTGTGTAATTGCCGGTTTAGGCATTCAAAAAATGTTGAAAATTTTAAAATTGGATAATTTTCATCAAAAAAAATATATTTTTCAGAGCATTGAAAATCCTCTCGAAATTCGAGAGTGAGTTTGTAAAAAAGGTTATTTTATTGAAAATGAAATAATTATCAAAGAAAAAAAATATTTTTATCATACTTTATTTGTAAATAAAACAAAAAAATGCAACATTTACTGTGAAAAAGATATTGAATTTGGTCCAGTATTAAGAAAAACAAATGACAAACATTTTCAAGAATATTGAAATAAAATTCTTGCTTTTCAACAAAACATTTTATTAAACATTTCAAATAAAGAAAAAAAAAATAAAATTAAAATAAAGATAAAAAATATTGAGACGATATTGAAATATGATTAAATTTATTGATTTTTGAAATTTATTAAATAATTTTTGCCCTTTGAAAAAAAGCAAATGTGACGATAATTCCGGAATTCAAATTGCCCTTCCGAATCAACACACAATTAAAAAAGTGTTAATCGCCCTCGATGCCAATAATAAAGTTATTAATCAAGGTATTGAAAATAAAATTGATTTAATTATTACTCACCATCCTTTGTTTTGACCTACAAAAAGAATAGGATTACGTTCAACCGAAACTCGAAAAAAATACAATAAATTAAAAAAAGCGAAAATTGGAGTAATTTCATTGCATACTAATTACGATGATTTATATTTAAAACAAGATTTAATGAATTTCATTTTTAACGACATTCAGTGTGATAACTCATTACCATTAATAAGTATGGGAAAAATATCAAAAACTTTGACTCTCAAACAAATAATTCAAAAAATTAAAAAAATTTTTGAATTAAATACATGTTTTTACTACGGAAACTTACAGCAAAAAATAAGTACGATTGCTTTAATGCCCGGAGCCGGCGGAGGCACGGGAATCGAGATGGCCAAAAAAAATAATGTTGATTTGTATATCACGGGAGAAATGAAGTGAAACGATTGAATTAAAGTGCAGGAAGCCAGATTGTCGGTAATTGTAATTGGGCATCAAATGGAAGAAATTTTTACTCAAAAATTAATTCAACATTTAAAAAAAATCAAAAATTTTTCTCTCTATAATCTGGATTTTCAACATTTTTTTCATGGAACTATTAAAAAAAATTTAAATGATTAAAATTTGAGTAAAAAAAAATAATCAAAATGAAATTAAGACTATAAATATAAGCGGTCATGCGCCTCTTAGTAAACACGAAAAAAATGCCTTGTGCAGTGCGGTTTCCGCTGTGGTTTTAGGAACATATAACACAATTCATTCCAATCATTTACAAAAAGAAATTAAAGCCAGCAAAAAAGAAAATAGTTTTCAATTTGAAATACAAAAAGAAACGGAAAAAGGAAAAATTTTATTAAATAATTTATATATTCAATTAAAAACGATAAATCTTTATTTCAAAAAAAATATTGAAATTAAGTTTGCGGATTAATATTTTCATTTAAACGGAGTTCCGTATATAAATATGGTGTCGCCGTTTCGAATACCGTGTTTTTGTAAACACTCAATTAAATATTTATTTTTCAAATGTTGATTAAACTTTTCTAGCTCTTCTGGTTTTGTAACATTATATTTTTTTCACAAAATACGGATCATCTTTCCGGATAACTCTCAAGTTTGTAGTTTTAATTTTCTTAATCTAATTTCTTTTTCTATTTTATGTCGATGAGAAAAAATTTTTTCATGGTTATGGGAAAATTTTAATTCCGCAACCGTTTTAATATTGGGATTTTCTTGCAAAAAAGAAATAATTTTATTGATCAATTTCAATAAATTTGTTTTTTTCTTTGAAGAAATTGGAATTAAAGTTTTAAATTGTTCAATATTTTTAATAATTTCATAATTTTTTTGAGCAATTGATAAATCGAATTTATTACCGACAATAATACGAGGAATTTGAGCAAAAAATTTACTGTAAGACAATAGTTCATTGTTAATAAGATTCCAATTTAATTCAATCTGCTCTTTTTGTAAGACACTTAAATCAAGAACATGAATTAATAAATAACATCTTTCCACATGTTTTAAAAATTGATTTCCTAATCCTTTATTTTTAGAAGCTCCTTCAATAATTCCGGGCAAATCCGCTATTAAAATTTTCAACTTGGAATTTTTTAATACTCCTAAATTGGGGGATAAAGTGGTAAACTCATAACTTGCAATTTCGGGTTTAGCATTCGTTAAAACCGAAAGTAATGTGGATTTTCCGGCATTCGGTAATCCTATAATGCCAACTTTTGCTAAAAGTTTTAATTCTAATCAAACAGTTTTAATTTCCCCGATATTTCCGGGTTGAGCAAATTTACTTTTTTTATTTTTATTAGAAACAAAAAAAGCATTTCCGTGGCCGCCGAGTCCGCCTTCAACAACCGTAAATGATTGTTCTGATTTTTGAAAATCAAATAAAATTTTGTCTTTATTCTCATTTAATAAAACCGTGCCCACCGGAACAAATAAAACGGTATCGCGACCATTTTTGCCGTGTTGCATTTGTCGATTTCCGGAAAAACCATTTTCGCTTTGAATGATTTGATTGTGGCGTAAATGCGAAAAACTATTCACTTTATTCGAAGAAATAAAAATAATATCTCCGCCTTTTCCACCGTCTCCGCCGGTAGGGCGAGATGTTTTTTGCATTCAATCTTGAAAAAAAGAAACACATCCCGATCCTCCATTACCAGATCTTAACTGTAAGGAAAGATAATCAACAAATTTCACAATTACTATAATATAAGATAATTTTTATTTTTCATCTTTTGGTGCGGAATGTTGATAAAAAGTTTTATTATTTAAGGCAAAGTTTTTTTCGGAAAAATTGTTTTTAGCTGTATTCGACAAACCTTTGTGAATAGAATTCAATTTAGCATCTAAATCATCAAGATGAGCGAGAATAAAAGATTCAATTAAAATTGGTTCAACCGGAGAGCCGTTTTCTAGCTTTCCATGACTGGACAAAATCATATGTTGTAATAAGTGAATTTTTTCGGCAGGCAAATGCAATGATTCACCAATTTTTTGGACGAAACTGGAACCGATTGAAATATGCCCAATTAATTTTCCGGGAATCGTATATTTTTCAGGAATTCCACCTTCAATTTCATATAATTTACCCAGATCATGTAGCATGATACCAGCATACAAAAGAGAAAAATTAATATTATAGTATTTATAAATATTTCCCAAACTTTGCGCCATTCGCAACATGGAAAGAGTGTGTCAAATTAATCCTCCTCGAACATTATGATGAATTTTTAATGCCGCATAATGAGAACAAAACTTTTCTCATAAATCATCTTTAAAAATGTGATTAATGAGTTTTGAATAATCCGAGTCGTGAATTTGACTCTGAAAATAACGAAAATCCTTTTTCATACTATTGATTGAAAGAATCGAAATGGGTATAAGTTGTTCGCGAATGGTGGAGTCGGTAATAACTTCTCATTTGTTAATTATAGCTTCTCATTTTCCATTAAATTTTTGCATTCGAGCTGTTATAGTATGAAATGATCCGTGAGATAAATTTTTTTCATCAAGCGGTGAACAATTTCATTTTTTAGCTCACAGTTCGCCCGTTTGATCGCTTAATATTAATATTAAATAAGAACTGCCGGTGCTAGTTATTCTTTTTGTTGGACGAGTAATCAAACAGTTGAAGGTGAACTCGGCTTCCTTTTGAGTTAATAAAATATTTTTAATTTGAGAATGAATCATTAAACTGATTTTAAAATCATTTTACATTTTTTCCGTAATTCTTAAAAACAAAAAATTTTTTAATAAATAAAAAAAATGTTTTTTCAATTTTTATTTTTTAATTAAAAATATGGAAATTTTTTTTGATATTGGTAAAAAAGGAGGATATGCTATTTTTCACCGTAAAAAACTTAAAAAATATGGATTTTATAATTTATCATCAAAGAAAACAATACCGGCAAAAGAAAAAATTTATCGTTTTAAAAATTTTTTAAAAAGTAATTTTACGAAAACAAAAAAATATCAATATTTAGCTACTTATGAACCATTCGGTTCAAACATAAAAACGACAATGAATCTCTCTTTTTTGATCGTTCTTTTAATTGAACACTTTTGCGAATCGACTCCGATTTTATTAAATGAATGAGAAATGTTAAAAGATACTTTAAACATAAATAAAATTCCTTCACGATGAGAAAAAAAGAAACAAATTATAATTTGAGTAGAAAAAAAATTTAAATTAAAAAATTTAACCGATGATGAAGCAGAAGCCATTATCGGGGGTTATTATCTATCCAAAAATTTTATTTATCAAAAATAAAATTGTAAATCTCGGAATATTCGCTCACAGAAACGATTTTTAATTTCTTTTTTATTTCAATCGGAATATCAACAATATCTTTTTCGTTCTCTTTTGGAATAATAATGGTCTTAATTCCGCTTCGCTCCGCCGAAATAGCTTTTTCTTTTAATCCGCCGATTGGTAAAACTTTTCCTCGTAAAGTAATTTCTCCTGTCATCGCGATATTATTGGATACCGGTTGATTTTTAAATAAAGAAACTATGGCCGTTGTTAATGTGACACCCGCGGATGGCCCATCTTTCGGAACGGCCCCTTCGGGTACATGAATATGTACATCGATCTTGTTAAAATTTTTAATCTTGATGCCAAAGGCTTTGGCATTTGCTTTAATTAAATCATATGCAATACTCGCGGATTCTTTCATAACAGTTCCTAATTTTCCGGTAAGAATTAAGTTTCCTTGCCCTTCAAAAAAAATCGTTTCAATCGGAAGTATATCCCCGCCAAAACTTGTATAAGCGAGCCCGGTCACGACTCCCGCTTTAATCACATCATTTTTTCTCGTATGTTCATAAAGTCTTTTTTCTAAGTAAACAATAACATTTTTGTCCGTAATTACTTCACTTTTGATTTGTTTAGTTAAAAAGCGAACAATATATTTACGAGCAATTTTAGCGATTAATCTTTGTAATTCTCTCACTCCCGATTCGCGAGTATAGTATTTAATAATTTCTTCAATTCCTTTTTGAGTAAATTGAATTTGTTGTTTCTTTAAGTTTAAGGATTTTAAAACTTTTGGAACTAAATGCTCTTCCGCGATTTGAATTTTTTCCAATTCGGTATATGAATATAAATGAATAATTTCCATTCGATCATGTAATGCGTAGGGAATATTGCCTTCATAATTTGCCGTAGCAATGAACATTACTTGAGATAAATCGTAGGGTTTTTCAATATAATGATCGGTAAATTCTTTATTTTGTTCTGGATCTAACACTTCTAACATAGCACTGCTTGGGTCTCCGCGAAAATCCGAACTCATTTTATCAATTTCGTCAATTAAAATAACCGGATTCAAAGCTTTTGCTTTTTTCATAGATTGAATAATTTTTCCGGGCATAGAGCCAATATATGTTTTTCGATGACCTCGAATTTCGGATTCATCTTTGACTCCTCCGAGTGCAATTCGTACATAATTTCGATTGAGAGCTTCGGCAATCGAAATTCCCAACGAAGTTTTTCCTACTCCGGGGGGTCCAACTAAACAAATAATTTGTCCCGAAGTTTTTTTGGAAAAAATACTTGATGCCAAATGTTCAATGATTCGCTCTTTGGCTTTTTTTAATCCTGAATGATTACGATTTAAAATAGTTTCCGTTTGTTTAATATCAGTATTTTCTTTAGTTTTTTGATATCAAGGCAAGGACATAACTCAATCAATATAACCTTTTAACATACTTGATTCTCCGGAACCTGGCGGTAAAGTTTGAAAACGTTTAATATCTTCTCGAATTCAATACTTTACATCAACCGGGAAGGGTTCTTTTTCTAAACGAGCGAGATATTCTCCCATAATTCCGGATTTTTCGCCGAGCATACCAAGTTCTTCTTTAATAGCATTTAATTTTTCTAACAAAATATATTTTCGTTGTCTCTTGCTCAGTTTAAGTTTGATTCGATTGGAAATAGAATCATCAATTAAATTACTATAATCTTCATCAAAATCGGCACTTCATTTTATGTTTCGTATAACAATTTGAAAACGTTCGTACACGCTGTCCGTTTCCAGAGTTTTTTGTTTATATTTAATTTTTTTTTCGGATGAATTACTAATTAAAATATATAAAAAATTAGTGATTCGATCTTGTTTAATTAATTCTTTTTTTATTTTGTCCGAAATGTTTTTCTTAAATTGACTTATAGTTTTGAAAATATGTTCGGAAATTTCTTTTTGTTCTTTAATTGATAATTTTTTATCTTTTAATACATCAAATTCCGCAAAAATTAGATTATCTTTTTGAATAAATTTTGTAACTTTGGCTCTTTCAAGTCCATTTACTTGAATTGTTTTTACTCCCGATAAATTTCTTTTTTTACTCTCGCGAAAAACAGAAATAACTCCTATCTTATTCAAATTATTGACATTAATTTTTTCGATTTTTTCATTAATTTGACTAATTACTAAAACTCGATTGGCATATTTTAATTGTGAATGACTAATTGAATCCAAAGTATCTTTACGACCAAAAACCATATTGATGGGGCGAACAGTTGGAAAAACAGATGTTTGTTTAATAACTAAAACCGGTAATATATTCATTTATTCATTTATTTTACCTTTTTAATTTTCTTATCAATTAAAATCATTTAATTATACATTAAATAAAAAATAACAAATATCGCCGTCTTTGACTTGGTATTTTTGACCTTCTTTACGAAATAAACCAGCATTTTTGACTTCCAATTCGGTTTGGTATTTCATTAAATCGTAAAATGAAACCGTTTCGCAACAAATAAAACCTTTTGCAAAATCTGTATGTATCAACGCAGCACAGTCTTTGGCGGTAAAATGATTGGGAAATGATCAACCACGTATTTCATTCGATTTCACCGTAAAAAAAACAGACAAATTCATCATTTGGAATGACTGCTGTAGAAACTTATCAAAAATATTTTTCGGCGAGCGATATTCTTTACGCATTTCATTCGCCTCATTTACATTTATATCCGATAATAATTTTTCTAAGAAAAGAGAAATTGTTAAAAAAGAAGTTTTTTTGTTTTTTAAGAAATTAACAAATTTTTGATATTGATCATTATTTTTTAAATTTAGAAAATCAGTTTCTCCTATGTTAATTAAAGTTAAAGTTTTTTTTAATGTGAGTAAGTTTAAACTTTTTAAAAATTTCAAATCATCGAGCGTTCATTTTTGATCGAATAGTTTTTTGTCCGTTTTTAATAAATGCAAAAATGTTTTTAATAATTTTTTTTTTTGAATCAGTTCGGCAGACGAACTGGATTTTTTTTGTTTTTGAATTTTGATAAGTTGGTTTTCAATCGTTTGAATATCAGCAAAGGTTAGTTCTAATTGAATAGTTTCTCAATCTTTTTGCGGATTTATTTCATTATTGACATGCAAAATTTCCGAATGAGAAAAACAACGAACCACATGAACCAAAGCCGTTGCTTCGCGAATATGACTTAAAAATAAATTCCCCATTCCTTCGCCGAGGTGCGATCCTTTAATCAAACCGGCAATATCTCAAAATTTGATTAAGGGGGCAACTATTTTTTTTGTTTGATAAAAGTTAGCCAATTTACTAAGTCTTTGATCAGGCAAAGGCACGATTCCTATATTCGGTTCAATTGTTGAAAATGGATAATTTGCGATTTCAATCTTTTTTTTCGTAATTAACGAAAATAATAAGCTTTTACCAACATTAGGCAATCCTATAATGCCAATTTTTAACATAACTACATTATTATTTTAAACACAAACTTTTTATTTTCATTTATTTAAAAATAATTTGACTACCGAAAAAAAGAAAAAAAACAAAATATAAAAAAAATATGAAAAATATAAAAACAAAATATGTGGGTTATTTATTAAGTTTAAGAAAAGAAAATAAAAATTTTTATTTCGCTTTTTTTCTCACCAAAGAAAATTTATTTTTAAAAGTAAAAATTCATTGAAGAGATTTACCGATTCAAATGAAAAACGGGGATAAATGAATTTTTTTTATGAGGATGAATAATTGAATATGAGGCAAATGTCAAACAAAAAGCAAAATAAAAAATCATAAAAATTTCGACATAATTGAAAATTTTATTTTACAAATATGTAATTTATTGCCAAAAAATAACTGATCTTATTCTTTATACGAAAAAGGGCAAGAGATGTACAACAATTATATTAATTCTAAAATATGATTGATCAAAATGTTATTAAAAATAATAGAAAAAATGGGACAAAAACTAAATTTTGAAAAATGTGGAAATTGTGGAAAAACTCAAATTCAAATAGTCAATTTTGATTGCGGAGGAGGATTGTGTAAAAATTGTAACTATTTAAACAATAAATTTTGATTAACTAAACCATATTGAGAATGTATACAAAAAATTGATGCATATTCAATTGACAAATTAAAAACAATGAAAATGAATAAAAAAATTCTAAATTTTTGATATTGATTAATCAGTGATTTTATTGATTTTCGTTGTGGCTTTTATTTTAAAATTCAGGGAAATAAAAAATTTTCAAAAAATTATAAAATTTGATAAATAATTTTAAAATTCACTATTTTTTTTTGTTTTTCATCAATTTGTAAAATAACTCCGGAAAATTGACCATCATCTTGAGCGGGCCGAATCCGAAAAGGAAGACTAGATGTTTCTTTTTTTAAGATACCATCTGCCTTTGCTCCGATAATTGAATGATGCGGTCCAGTCATGCCCACATCAGTGATAAAAAAAGTACCTTTTTTAAGAAAACGAGCATCGTTGGTTTGCACATGAGTGTGAGTACCAAGCAAAGCTGAAATTTGACCATCAAAGGCGTAACCTAAAGCAATTTTTTCGGCTGTAGTTTCGGCATGAAAGTCAACAATGTTAATATCAACTTTTTCTTTATTTAATATTTTTTCCAATTCAAAAAAAGGATTTAATACATTAACATTCATAAAATGACGACCGAGTAAATTAATAATTCTAATCTTTAAATTTTGAACTTCGAAAATACGACTGCCACATCCCGGAGTTCCGGATAAATAATTGAGAGGACGAATCATTTTGTTCATCTGATTAATTTTTTCTAAAATATCTACATGAGTAAATGTATGATTTCCCATGGTAAAACAATCGACTCCGTTTTTTTCCAAATGTTGATAATGAGCTCAGGAAATGGCTTTTCCATTGGTGGCATTTTCGGTATTCGCAATCACAAATTGAATATTTTCCGTAACTTTTAATTCTTGAATTTTTTGCAATAAAATTTGCCTACCGGTTTTTCCATATACATCGCCAACAAATAAAATATTTAACATTCTTAATTTGATAATTTTTGAAATTCCGTAAAACTTTTTTTGAATAATAAATATTCAACAATATTATTAAGACGATCATTCGTACGATCTAAAAATTTAAACCGCAAAAAAAAATAATAAGTTTTTTTTGATAATCCAAAATGATGTTGAATTTTCTTTTCTTTTGTTAATTCGGACAAAAGTTGATTAATTTCAAATCTTTGATCTTGTTGTAAATCATCTTTGATGATCGGTAAAGTGGCATTTTTCATAAGTCTTTCCACCTTATTAAATCTTTCCATTAATAATTCTCATTTATTCAAAAATAAATTCTCTTCAAATTTAGTTTCCGCTAAAACATAGATTTTAGCAATATTATGAGCATAATCCGCGATTCTTTCAATTTCTGTAATGATGAAAGACAGAGACATTAATTTTCTTAGATCTTTGGCATATAAATTAAAAATCGCGAGCGAATAAATAATTTGTTTAAATATATAATGATAATTTTTGTTAATTGTTTTTTCATTGTTAATTATTTTTTCTAATAAATCTTTTTTATTTTCTTTTATGGCTTCAATACAATTTAAATGCTGTTTTTTGGTTTTATCAAACAATCCGCAAACCAATTCATTTAAAGTCTTAATTCTTTTTTTAACTAATGATTCCATAATTAATTATCCAATCGATTGTTTATATATTCCATTGTAAGTTTATTTTTTGGTTCTGTAAAGAGATGAGTGGTTTTACCAAACTCAATAATTTGCCCTTTATCAACAAACAAAGTATAGTCTGACACTTTTGTCGCTTCTTTTAAAGAGTGAGTAATAAGAATAATTGTATATTCTTTTTTCAATGCAAAAATCAAATTTTCAATTTTTTCTCGAGCAATTGGATCAAGTGAACTGGTTGGTTCATCAAATAAAATAACGCTGGGCTTGTTTGCAATACAACGAGCGATACATAATCTTTGTTGTTGACCGCCGGATAACTCCGTGGCTTTACTATGAAGGCGATCTTTTACTTCATCTCATAACAAAACGGATTTTAATGAAGTTTCGACAATTTTTTGAAGTTTTTTTGGATCATGTAATCCCTTCATTCGAAGAGAAAAAGCAACATTTTCAAAAATTGACATTTTAAAAGGAGTTGGTTTTTGAAAGACAATTCCAATTTTTTGCCGTAACTCAATCGGATTAACGGATTTGTCATAAATCGATAAATTATTAAAAAGAATATCTCCTTTTATCATTGAATCCGCTCGTAATTCGTGCATACGATTGATAGATCATAAAAGAGTAGATTTACCGGATCCGCTGCGACCGATAATCGAAGTAACATGATTGTAGGGAATCTTTCAATTTATTTGTGTCAGAATCGGTTTCTTATCATTTTTATTGTAGTAAAAAGAAAAATTCTTAAATTCAATAATAGTTTTTTTATTTTTTTGTTTATTCATGGAAATTTTTATATTTAGTTAGATTTTACTTTAAACGTTCGCTTTTTGGTCAATTTAACAATCAATCAGTTCGTAAAAAAAATTATTAAAATAGTGAGTAATGCGGCTTGATATGATAAATGTTCAATTTCCGTTGCGCTGAGAATTGACTCGCTTTGTAAAAAATAAATATGAGTCGCTAAAGTACGCCCGGAAGAAAAAAAACCACGAGTCGGAAAGAAGGCCGAATTTCCCAAAATCACCAACAACGCTGCCGATTCAGCAATAACTTTATTCGCTCCTAAAATTCAGGAAACCAGAATTCCTTTAAAGGCAAATGGCACAATGACTTTTCAAATTATTTGTTGCCGACTCAATCCTAAACCATATGCCGCAAAACGATAAGAATCGGGAACACTTTCCAAATTTTGTAAAATCGCTTTGGTCATAATGGGAAAAATAATTAAAACCATAGTTAAAGATGCCGATAATAAAGTAAATCCAAAACCAAAAAGAGAAACAAATAAAGCTAATCCGAAAAGTCCGAAAATGATAGTAGGAGAACTGGATAATTGATATATGATAAAACGAACTATTTTACTAATTTTTTTATTAATTCGCGAATATGGAGCGTATTCGCTTAAATAAATTGCCACAAAAAAAGATAAAGGAAAAGCAAAAACCAAACTACCTAAAATTAAAATTCCGGTAGTCGAAAGGACTCCTAATAAACCGTGATTCCCTGATAAAGTCACCAAATTATGAAAACCTTGAAAATTATTACTCACAAAACCAATCATGCCGCGATAAAGAATGTCACCAACTAATCAACCAAAGCCCAAAACTAATAACCCGAAACTGAAAATCATAAAAAATCAACGTAAATAAGGCAAAATTTTATGTCTTAATTTTGCTAAAAAAATATAATATTTGCTAAAAAAAGTATTGTGAAATTTATAAGAAATCAGTGATTTTAGTTTAAAAGGTAAAAGTTCTCTTTTTTCGCTTTGTAAAAGAAAAAAGAATAAAAAATTTACTAAAAAAACAATTAACATAATAATCAAAGCTACTCCAAATAAAGCGGATTCGTGTAATTTTCCAAAATGTTCAGCTATTTCCAATCCAATTAAAGAAGAAAGCGTGCTAATTGAAGTAAAAAAAAAGTTTTGTGCTCCACTGGCTAAATCAGGAGCTTTATTGGCATTACCGGCCACTAAAGCAATTGCCGTAACTTCTCCGATCGCGCGGGCAAACCCTAAAAAAAGAATCATAATCACTTTTCGTGTGCAACAGCGATAAATAATATCAAAAGCGACATAAATTGGTTTAATTCCCAGGGCAAATCCACTATATTTATAATTTTTCGAAACATTCTGAATTACATCAATAGTAAGTGTTAAAGTTGTGGGCAAAACCATAAAAGTTAAAATTAAAATAGCCGCGAACATACTTTTTGGTTGAGCGACTCCTAACTTTTGTAAAAAATTAACTAAAACAAAGGCCCCGAAGACACCAAACAAAATTGACGGAATTCCCGAAAAAACTCTTAATAAAAAAATAATTTTTTTCTTGAATCAATTGGGTAAAAATTGAGAAATAAAAACTGAGGCAAAAAAATTGATAAAAAAAGTAAAAATCATCGTCAGAAAAACAACTCAAAAAGTAGATACAATAAAATTTCAAATTCCAAATTCTTTATTGGGCGATCAATTGTCATGAAATAAAAATTCCGTAAAAAAATTTTTATTTTGTAATAAATGAGAAGATTTAATAACAATAAAAACAATTACCGAAAAAGTTAAAACTACAGCCAAAATTGTAATTAAATAAGAAAAAAAACGAGTAATATCGAATTTTTTAAGTGAATTGTTTTTCTTTTTCAGACTAATCATTTAATTCAATTTCCCGAAAATCATAAATATAGTTTGAATGAAGAAAAATATTTTGAACCGTTTCGGAAGCAAAAAATTCTAATAAATCTTTTAATAAGTTCTTATTTTGTTCTAAATAAAAACCAATAAAAGGGCGAAATAACATATAAGTCTCGTTGCGAATGTTTGAGTCGTTTGCTTCTATTCCGTTGTAGGTAATGTAATTAATTCGAGAATTTTGAGCATGAAGAAGTGAAATATTGGAAGCAAAAGCATAACTTACATATGCCATTCATCCTTCATTTCGTTCAATATCTTTTAAAATTGGGCCGGAAGATTTGGACACATTTTCAGCCTCAATACTTTTATGATCGGTTGCTCGATTTGCTCAAACTATATTTTCAAAAGTACTTCTTGTTCCAGAACCATTTTCACGACTAGCACGAAAAATTTTTTGGTTTGCAGAACTACAAGTAACATCATCTAATTCGTTTCAATCAATAGAATTAGGTGATGTGTAAATAAAAAAAAGTTCGTCGGAGGATAGATTTAATCGAGTTTTTTCATCGCGAAGTTCACAATTTGTGGGTAAATGATAAATTACAATAATGCCATCTTTTGCCAGAGAAAATTGATTTAGTTGAAATTGATTTTGTGACAAAATTTCTTTTACTTCCTCATCCTTTTTTAAATCAAATTCTTTACTCATAAAACCAATGCTAAAACGTTGATCCAACACACTTCATAATCCGGCATAACTTCCACTGGAAACATATTGATATTGAAATTCTTTGTCGGTGATTTCATTAACTAATTTTTGAAACAGAGGATAAACCGAGGTTGAACCTCCCGCTATAATTGTATGAATTGGAATAAAACCTACTAAAAAAGATGCAAAAAAAGAGGCAAAATAAAAAATCAAAAAAATAAGCCAAAAAAACTTTTTTATTTTTTGATTAGTTAAGATTAAAAATGCTTTTATCATTGTTATTTTTTCAAAACTTCCAATTTAATTAGCATTAAACGGGCCGCTTCTTTGGTAGCAATTTTTTTGTTTATATTGTGTGAAATAGTTTTAAAATTTTTATATTCACAAGTTACTTTATATTCGTTATTTTGTTTAACTGAATGATATAAATCGGGTAATTTCTTATCCAATTTTTGAATATATTCTTGTAAAGTAGTTTTATAATCAATTGAATTAATCATCTGTTTTCAATGAGGCAAAATTAAGTACTGAGAAACAAACTTTTTCAAAAAAACTAAATCTTTTAAATCTAAATAAATTGCCGCAATAAATGCTTCAAAACAATCAGCTAAAATAGATTTTTTAAATTTTTGTTTTTTCAAACCGGTACTCAATTTTAAAAAATTATGTAGTTTCAATTTTTTTGCCACTAAATACAAAATTTCGTTACTAATTAAAAAATTTTTTCAGATTGTTAAATTTTTAGAAAATTTATTTTTATGAGAATAAATAAAGTCAACTACAATGAAATTAATAATGCTATCACCCAAAAATTCTAAATTTTCATAGTTTTCTTGAGAAAACAATTTTTGTTCGTTGAGATACGAACTGTGTGTCAAAGCTGTTTGATAAAGAGTTAAATCTTTATGCTTAATATTTAAGTTGCTTAAAAATTTTTCTAATTTCATGTATAGGCAGGCAATAGTCGAATTTGTCCGGCTTTGTCGTCTATTATTTTTTTAATCCTTGATTTCTTTAATTCGAGCTGCTTTTCCTCGTAAATTTCGCAAATAATATAATTTAGCTCGTCTTACTTTACCCCTTGTCAATAATTCAATTTTTTTTAGTTTCGGTGAATTATAAAGAAATGTTTTTTCGACTCCAATTTCACCTGAATATTTTCGAATAGTAAAACTTTTATTGTTTAAAACTCCGCGAATAGAAATAACAACTCCTTCGAAAATTTGTTGACGATCTTTTTTTCCCTCTTGAATTAATCAGTAGGTACGAATTTTATCACCTACTTTAAAATTCGGATAAGTTTTTTCGGGTTTTTGCTGAAAAGCAACCATTTTTTTTAATCAATTATAATTCATGTTTATTAACAAAAAAAATCTTATGTTCGAATGTCTTATAAAATAAAAGTGTAAAAATTATTATTTATAATTATACCAACTAAGTAAGAAAGTAGAAAACTAAATGTCATTTCCTATTCATAACATTCGAAATTTTTCCATTATTTCTCATATTAATCACGGTAAATCAACTCTTTCGGATCGTTTTTTAGAACTTACACAAAATCGAAAACATCAAAAAATTGATAAACTTATGGACTCCATGGAACTGGAAAAAGAGCGTGGAATTACAATCAAATTAAATACTGCTTGTTTGAAATATAAATTGAATGAATTAGAATATAAACTTAATTTAATTGATACTCCCGGACATGTTGATTTTTCCTATGAAGTATCTCGATCTTTAAGTGCTTGCGAAGGAGTTATTTTATTGGTTGATGCTATTCAAGGCATTCAGGCACAAACACTATCGAATTTAAATGCCGCTCAAAAACAAAATTTAAAAATTATTCCCGTAATTAATAAAATTGATTTGAAACATGTTGAAATTGAAAAAATTCAAAAATTAATTAGTAAACTTTTGAAAGTAAAAATAAATGAAATTAGTTTAATTTCGGCCAAAAAAAATATTGGAATAAAAGCTCTTTTGGAAAGAGTTATCAAAGAAATTCCGGCTCCTCAAGGCAATATAAATTTACCGACACAAGGTTTAATTTTTGATGCTTTTTATGATCAATATCAAGGAGTTACATTGTTGGTACGAATGATGAATGGAAAACTCAAAAATAAAGATCGTATTAATATTCTGCCTTTAGATCAAAAATATGAAATTAGTGAATTACTCGTTAAAACTCCCGAACTAAAAAAAATAAACGAACTCCATTGCGGAGATGTAGGTTTAATACAAGCAAATATTAAAAACATAAAAGAGATTCAAATAGGAATGACCATCACTTTAGAAAAAGAAAAAAAAACCGACATTTTAGATGGTTATCAAAAAATTACTCCGGTGGTTTTTGCAAATTTTTTCGCTATGGAAAATAATGCCTATAAAAATTTAGAAAAAGCCTTAGAAAAAATAGCTTTAAATGATGCATCACTACAGTTTCAAAAAATTTCTACTTTTGCCTTTGGACATGGTTTTTATTGTGGTTTTCTTGGACTTTTGCATTTAGAAATTATTCGAGATCGCATTATACGAGAATACAAAATAGATATTGTTGTTACTTCGCCCACTGTCAAATATCACTTTATTAAACAAAGTGGAGAAAAAATGATTCACAGTAATATTATGCAAATTGATGATTGAACTCAAATTCGAGAAATTCAAGAGCCTGTTTGTAAAGTAAATGTTATATTGCCGATATCATATTTAGGAGAAACGATGACCTTAATAAAGAAAAAAAGAGGTAATATATTAAATCAATCAGTCATTAGCGATGAGATTATCAAATTAGAAACTTACTTGCCTTTGGCGGAAATTGTCATTGATTTTTTCGATCTTTTAAAATCCATAAGCAATGGTTATGCATCATTTGATTATCATATTGACCATTATGAAGCTAGTAGTTTGATACGTTTGAACATATTAATCAATGGGCAAATGATCGGAGCTTTTTCTCGCATTGTTCATAAGAAGGAAGCTTATCAAATTGGAAGAAATATTTGTCAAAGATTAAAAACTTTAATTCCACGAGAAAATTTTCAAATTAGTATTCAAGCATCAATTAATAATAAAATTATCGCCCGCGAAAATATTCCCGCTTTGCGAAAAAGTGTCGCGGCGAAATGTTATGGTGGAGATATAACACGAAAAAGAAAACTTTGAGAAAAACAAAAAAAAGGTAAATTGAAAATGAAAAAATTCGGTCGTATAAATTTACCTAACAAGGTTTTTTTGGAAATTTTAAAAAATAAAAATTAAGCTTTCTGAATGATAAAATTAGGTTGTTAAATAAATGATTTTTCAAGCGTCTATTATAATCGGTTCTATTAATATTAATTTATATATTTTTATTGTTAGTATCGTATTAATTGTACTTGGAATAGGCGGTTTGATTGGTTTAATTGTGTTTTTGTGTTTAAAACGAAAAAAATTAAAACCAAAAAAAAGAAAAAAATCCTCATAAAAAAGTTAAATGATAAATATATCAAACGATTCATCGATAAATTCACCAAAAACAATTCAAGTAAACCGAATTAAAATTTTTTTAATAAAGGAAATTAAAACCGAAAAATGACGTTTTGTTTTTCTTAATATTATCAGTTGAATTTTATTTATCATTTTTTTAACTATTTTTTCCCTGTCATTTTTTTTAGGACAAGAAATTAAAAAAATTTCTTTCTTTTTTGAGCTCTGAATTGTAATTCCACTCTTAATATTTAGTTTGTGGCTCGTCGTCATTAATGGAATGGGAGCATATACATTTTGACAAGAAAAAAAAATTCATTTTGATTATCCTGAAGTCGTTGATGAAAATCGAATTCCTAACTTTATTATTGGAGCTTATAAGCGTAGTTATGCGCAAATTATTTTTGTTAATTGATTATCAATTTTTGGTTATATTAGCATTACAATCGGATTAATTTTTCTTTTCTTGCTAAAAAATAAAGAAAATCCCGAATTTCATTTAGGGAGTTTAATCACCATTCAAATTAACAAAACTTTTGGTTCATTTACCGGCGAAATAACAATTTTTTTTATTGTTTTAATCTTTCTTTTGTTTTTACATATTTTTACATATATACTTTCAACAAGAAAAAAAGCAAGATTAAATGCCTTATTTGATATTGACAGAAAAATAGATCAAAATGAAATACGTAAATATAAACGCAAGGCGCACATAATATGTGCCATAATATTTTTTATTCCGTTAGTGATTATTTTTTTGATTTATTGAATATTTTTGCGTAGTCGAAAAAAAACTACTTAAATTTTTTATTAATCGCCTCAATACAAATTTGAGCTGCTTTTTTAGGATTGTAATTAATTAAGCTTCAGGCTTTATCATTTTTTTTAAGATATTCTAAAAAAACATTCATTTCTCCTTCACTTAATATTAAAGCGGTTTCTATCACAAATTTATGATTGGAAAGATAACTTAACGTCCTTAAAACATAAATTCATCTTATTTTCGCACAATCAATTTCCATGCGACAAATAGTGGCTTGAGAAGTCACAATTTTGTCCGCGAGCTTTTGTTGCGATCAACCTTTCTTTATTCGTAAGATTCTAATTCTCTTACTGAAATCTTTTGAAT